GTGACCACACTCAGTTTGTATATTCAAATAAATGAAGGACATTGTTACTGTCAAAGTATTTAAAAAAGTGCTTAAACATAGGTGTCTACTAGTAAGAATAAAAGTATCCCACTGAAAATGTTTTTCTTTTTAAACTTTTATTTAATAAATATAAATTTCCAAAGTACAGCTTTGGATTACAATGGCTTTTTCCACCCAATAACTTCTCTCCCACCCGCAACCCTCCCCTCTCCTGCTCCCTCTCCCATTCCATTCACATCAAGATTCACTTTCAATTATCTTTATATCAGAAGATCAATTTAGTATATATTAAGTAAAGATTTCAACAGTTTGCACCCACACAGAAACACAAAGTGTAAAATACTGTTTGAGTACCAGTTATAGCATAAATTCACATTGTACAACACATTAAGGACAAAGATCCTACATGGGGAGTAAGTGCACAGTGACTCCTTTTTGTTGACTTAACAAATTGACACTCTTGTTTATGGCATCAGTAATCACCCTAGGCTCTTGTCATGAGATACCAAGGCTATGGAAGCCTTTTGAGTTCACCAACTCCGATCTTATTTAGACAAGGTCATAGTCAAAGTGGAAGTTCTCTCTTCCCTTCAGAGAAAGTCACCTCCTTCTTCTTTGAAAATGTTTTTCTTGATGATTACTATAACATGGACACAAATCCTATGCAATTAAGTTCAACAACTCTTCATCAGGACAGAATTTGCATACGTTTTGAGCTTATAAAGTTCCATATGACAATCTAAGCTCCAGAGGATGATGTTATAGAGCAACAAACATGTCACTATATGAGTGTAACCAAAATGATAATCCTTCCCATGAGTGGAATCCAAATTTGACCAAGGCCAAACAAACACAACAAAGGTGAAGATATGGAGGCCTATGAATGTGAATAATTACCCTGAATTCAGAATGAGAAGGGATTCTGTGTGACTGGGATATGATGGCAGTAAATAGAAAATAGCTGAGATTTGAAGAGTTCATAGATAGAAAAAGGGTTTGTGAAGATGAAGGGATCCAGCAGGCAAAGAACTAACAGAGGCTAAGTTGGAACTTTTAGCTCACAGTCACATAAAGGCATTAAAAATTATCCCACTTGATGGAAGTGCTGAGTACACAGGCTGGAGTGGGAGGGGAGGCTGGAAATGAGATTCCTGTCAAGATGTAAAAGGCATTACCCTATCACAGTATGAGTCACAAAATCAGCCAGTAGTATCTCTTGTACACTTTATATTTTGTTTTGCTTTGATCCTTTAAAAAATTTAGTTACATGAATAGAAGATTCATGTAAAGCATCATTTATTAAAAATTAGCAGTCCATATTGGTTATACTTAGATAACGATCAATAGATTTAAAACTGAATTTTTAAAATTTTAAAATTTTTAAAATCTAAGTTGGTGCTTTTCTCCCATCATAAGAGAAGCCAAAGATCTATTGCTGCCTCTTTACCTTTAGACTGAGATTCATATATATAAAGAGAAAATGTTGATTGCACCTGATATTGTAAAGATAAAATGCATAAAATCACCCATTAATCATTTTGGGGTGGGGTTTAGTTCATGTTTTCAAATAAGTCAAAGAAGAATTCATCTTCAAAGCTCAGAGAATTGGATTAAAAATTTAATAATAAACAGAAGTTTTTCTAAAGGTGATTTAAACAGATTTCTTCACAGAAACCATATTTTCATTGTCACTACTTCCTACTCAACCTCCCATTTTTAGTAGATTCTGTTGATCCATAGAATAGAGCTTTCTCAGGAAACTCTACCTAACTCAAACGATTAGATCAGTTTCCCACTTTTTGTGCTGGTGCTACGCTGAACAGATTGCATTGTAGTCTCTACAACTAGGCTCTACCCATTACCTTATTTACAGTTTTACCTTTAGTACTTAGTGCGGAGTGTGGAACTGACTAGTTCATTTATAATCATTAAATTAAATAATTACTCCAGCATTAAAAATAAGAAGAATCCCTCAAAAAAAAAAAAAAAAAAGAAGAAGAAGAAGAATCCCTCTTTATTACATATCAAAGTATTTGAGGCTTCTAAGGAAGGTTGAGAAACTGAATTTAACCTTATTGCTCGTTAATGGATTTGTGGTTTGGAGAAATGTGTCAGAAAAAGTGAAGTGATGTGGCAAATAAAAATATATGAGCACAGTTGAGGGCATAGAACATTGTCTGGCTTACCTTTTCCACATCGCCCAGGCCCTCAGTGTCCAGGAGGACCAGGGTGTGGTTTGGCTTGGAGGGGTGGGGCACGCACCACATCCAGATGCCCTTGGTTTCAGATTCTATGGTGGAGCCCAGAGGGAAGCCTGAAGGGAAGAGGACAATTAAAAAACCCCGAGAGCAGGCTGACGGGGTGGCCAGGGGTTATATTCATTAAACCTGTAGGAATGCAAGCGCTGGTCAAGAAATGGGTACTTTCTGAAAACAAATTTTATATGTACATAAACACTCACACACACACCCATAAATATACATAAAACTATGTGTGTATATATATGTGTATGTGTGTGTGTGTGCATGACTTTTTTTTTTTTTTTGACAGGCAGAGTTAGACAGTGAGAGAGAGAGACAAAGAGAAAGGTCTTCTTTCCGTTGGTTCACCCCCCAAATGGCAGCTACGGCCAGTGCACTGCGCTTATCCGAAGCCAGGAGCCAAGAGCCAGGTCTCCCATGCGGGTGCAGGGCCCAAGCACTTGGGCCATCCTCCACTGCACTCCCGGGCCACAGCAGAGAGCTGGACTGGAAGAGGGGCAACCCAGACAGAATCTGGCGCCCCAACTGGTACTAGAACCTGGGGTCTGGTGCTGCAAGTGGAGGATTAGCCTAGTGAGCCGCGGCACAGGCCATGTGTGCATGACTTTCTCAAGAAATGCTCTTTCAAAGACTCAAACAACTCATGGTAGAGCTGGTATAAGTCTACTACCCCACGTCATTTTATCTGAGACTAAAGAGCTCTCTCACCTCCCAGCCTCTCCTAGGGCTCCATCAGTGGGAAGCCTCACAGGAGACAGGAATGCAGGCATGTGTTCCTTCTGCTTCCACCTTGCTGGGCTTCAGCGTCCCAGTGCCTCAGTCCTCTATCTCAGGTCACAGCTCCTTTCATGTGGCTCCAGCCTACGGTTCTGGTCTTGACCATGATCTGGCATCTACTCTTTGCTTGTCTCTTCAGACTATGGGGAAGATAATGCCCCCTGGACATTGTTATTGCCCTCCTGCGGTGCTCTCTGACATTACACTGTTTCTCTGTACCCCGTACATTGCATTGTAAATCCCTCCAATGAACTCTCCTCAATTATTTTTGAATTGATCGTCCGTGCCCTACCACAACTTAGTCTGATACATTCCAGTTTGTATTTTTCTCACTCCCACATCTTCCCCTTCATTTTTTCTCTTTTCTCTTCTTCAAGCTAATTATGAGTCCTGTGTGGTTACCCTCAGGAGGGAGATATAAGTGAATGGAAAGCAGCACAGAGCTGTGAGTCCTGTTGGCCCTGCTTTCCAAAGGCTGAAGCCCACAAGGGGATGGTTTGAGGTTCATGGCCAGGAACCAGTGGAAGGTTTTTCTTGTGCTCTGGGTGCTCTCTCAGAGAGGACAGAAAGCCTGAGATGTTTTAGTCTTTTCTGCATTATGGTAATAGCTGATTGCTGACTGATTAATAGAGAAAAAGTCCAACTCCCCCTTGCAGAAAGGACAAGTGTGAATGGAGAGGATTACTTCATAAAGTTTGTGGGAAAATGAAGCTAAATGGTAAGTTAGTTTATCACCAAACATGTTTAAATCCCTTCACATGTTTATTTGCAACACACAATTTCCATGAACATTTTGAGGACTCTCAGTCACATGAATTTGAAAAACATTTACCACCAAAAGTAAAATATCTTTTAGTTCTATGTTCTACAACATTTTTGAAGTGCCTTCATATAAACACACAAGCACACATACACATGCACAGTGAGTCACACTCTAAGAGAGACAAATAGTCATCTGGTTCTGCTCATGAACCTGGACTGGGAGTGATTCTCATTTTTTCCATTTTTCCTAGGATATGGCAGAGTGGTTGAGTCAGAGTTCAGATGTTTAAAGCATTTTGGAAGCACGGATTCTCTTAGTAGAGTACAGAGAATTTACAATATTGCTCTTTAAGGCTGTCTTGAGTGAACAACAAGAACAATGTTGTTGAACCTTTAAGTCTGATATCTGTCTCTTACAGTTCTAAGTTCTATCATTATTCAAAGAGTATCCTAAAAAAATATGTGATCCAAGCAAGTGAAAGTGCATTTTGCAGACTGATGATGAAAATGTCTCTAAGGAAAATTAAACTTTGTGTCTTAGGGTCAATGGAAGATTGGAAGTAAAAAGGGGAGAGGGAGAGAGAAAGCAAAAGCAGACAAGGAGGGAGGCCTAGAAGAAGGTTGGGAGAGAGTGATTGAGGGAAAAAGTGAGAGAAAGAGAGAGAGAGAGAGAGAGAGAGAGAGAGATGGAAAAAGATGCAAGATCTTCACAGTTTAGTAGTTTAGTCGACTAATGGTCAATCCCTAATGACACTGAGCCAGGCAGGAAGTCAGTCATTAGGGGTGAAACTATTGCATAAATTTAGAGTAGAACCAACAAATATGCGAACAAGCACATTGTCCCAGATGTCAGTAAAAGCAAAGGGACAACTGGTAGGGAAAAAGAAAAAAGAAGGCTTCATAAACCAGGAAATACAAATGGCAAATAAATATGTTAAAAGAAGCTCACACTTAATCATCATGAGATAAATAATATATAACTACACAGTCTAGAGATAAGCCCAATTTAACATTTGTCTCATGTTACTAAATTTATGCAATGTGTAGTGTTTTCCATTGCTATTAACAAACATGTAAATTGCACACAAAACTATTTAGTATTATCAGGAAAGGCTGGAGACAATTATCTCTGATGCCCCAGTTACATTCCTGGGTATCTTGTAAAGGGAAGATTTATACATATTCACCAGGATATAAATACAAGAACATTCATGACTGTCATTCATAAACAATACTAACTACAAATATTACTAATGTTCATTAACAACAAATGTATAAATAAGGTGTAGTATTCTCAATCACATAATGTAAAATAGTACAACTCAATAATTTAACAATATATATAATATCTAGAGGATTCTTGAAAGTTTTGCTGAAGGAAAGATGAGAGACACCCAAGAATAAAATCACTATAATTCCCTGTAAAAAAAAGTGTTAAAAGAAAGGCAAAAGTCTTAGAGTGTATATATATGCTGTAGAACTATTGTTAAAAAGCAAGAATGGGAAGAGTGTACATGAAAACCAAAATACTGATGAGCTCAAATGAGAGTGTAGGGGGGTATTATTTGGACCTTTTAGTTTTTGTAAAGTTTTTAATTCTTGATCCTGATTACATAGGCATTCACTTTATATTTATTAACTTTATGTACATGTGTACATTATATATTCTTCTGTATGTGTTATAGTTTACATATTGGAGAAAGTTTAATATAGAAAGAGTAGGGGAAATAATTTATTATGGCACGAAGCAAAATAGAAGGCAATGTAGCTCAATTTTGGTATTGAATATAGAGTAATTCTACTATGCATGCTTTTGAAATTTACTTTTTAAAAAGTTTTAAAATTTTATATGCTACTTGAACTAAACATACAGTTGGTGAAAAACTGATGGGAGAGGAAGAAAGAAGTAATTACTGTAGCTCACCTCATGGGCAGGTTATAATGGATGGGATCAAGATGACCAGCATGTAGTTGGAGCGGTGGTTAAGATGTTATTTGGGACAACTTTATCCCATATCATAGGGCCTGGTTCAAGTTCTACCTCTGCTTCTCATCCAGTTTCTTAATAGCACATACAATGGGATGTAACAAATGGCAACTCAAGTACTCAGATGCCAGTGAATCCTGTATAGAGTTCTAAGTGCTTTTGGCCTGGTCCAGCCCCAGTTGTGAGGGCATTTGGAAATGAACCAGCAGGTGAAAGATCTCTGTCTGTTTGTGTCTCTCTGATCTTCAAATAATATAAAAAAAAATGGTAAAAATGTAAAGAAAATGAGGTTGACTGGATCTTTTAGAAGGGTTGGGGAAATCTTCATTAATGGACTAGAGAAGGAGATTTTCTGGACACATATAGTTGAGGTAAAAATTTGGAGGTGAGAAATAGAAGCTTTCTGCTTTGGAGGAGTTATGCTCTTCTTTAAGGTGACAGGGACAAGGTGTGATCAGCCTGTGTTGTCACCGGTGTCAAGTAAATGACCCTTGCCCCAGGCCCACACTCACCATGTTTCTGTCCTGCCAGGCGATTCATGAGGTAGGATTTGCCTGTACGATACAATCCCACAATGGCCACCACCACCACAGGCTGAGATATCTGGTTAAGAATCTCCAGTGCTTTAGGATTTACTTTCAGCTGCTCTTCCCAATTTTCCACTAGACAGATGGGGGTCTTCATGGTGATATTAGTTGCCATGGTAACCTGTAACCAAGAAAACTCATTTATTGGAAAACAGGATCCTGAAGTCATAGCTAGTGGTTATTCAAAGCAAATGCATATGAACTTTCTGCCTGTGGAATGCATGTCAATTTGCTATGTCCTGTATGTCTCTAAAGGAAAAATATTTCATCATGTCAAGACCAAGGACAGATGCCTCATGTACATTGTCTTATTGTTTCTACAAGAACTCTAAAAAACTCTGCCTAGGTTCTGTTAAAATAGAACAAGACAAAGTACTAATGTCAGCACCTTAAAAACCACTACTATTTTGGGGGTAAGTAGAGGAAGATTATGATATGAAGGAAAAAGGGAGTGGTCAGAAAAGATTCTAGACATCCAAAAAAATTGTGTCTCTCATTAATTTTCAAATATTTCACGAGTACTTACTATAACTGATAGCAATTCCTGTATTAAGCAGCTCTTGCCTAGTTTGAGGAGACAATACACATAGCAATAAGGAAAAGAAAGCAGGTTAAATAATGGTAAGCTCTCAGAAGAAAATATGCAAAGATCAGGAATAGGGGTGGTTGGGATTGAATTTATATTTTGAGTAATCAGGGAAGAAATCCCTGAGAAAATCTCCCAGTGATTTGGATTCCAGACCTCGATGAGGTCCGGTGCAGTGACTGGTGTGAACTGAGCAGGAGGGATGGAGGAGGATCCTGTAAGAAGGCAGAAAGATGAATTCTGCAGCTCTTCTCAAAACAGGCCCTGGCAGAGGTCTGGAGTAACCCGACAAATACCAGGGACCAGGAATTTCTGTAACTGAAATAAACAGATACCTGGCTGTCAGAGATGGGGAAGAGATACAGGAGCCAGGGTGTCTGGGATCTGCCCAGCTCTGACAGAATCCCTCATCCTAGTGAAGGGAGAGATTCTGACAGAACCCCTCATCTTGTCAGGCTTCAGGAACCCAGAGCTGTCCCGGGATGTCACAGCACAGACGCTGCTCTTGGACTGCCAAGGTGCAACCCCAGGGTTCAAACTCTAGGGTTCATTGCCTGGAAATGGACTTCACCTTTGTAAGCATAGACTTTCTAATCAGTGTTACAGGAAAGCGAAAATGATTGCCCGATTCATTCATGTGATGCTGAGAAAAACAATCTCAGTGCAGGTATTTTTAAATTTTCAGGGATAATATTTTCCTTCTACAGAAAGCAAGTTAAAATTATTAATATATTCCAATTTGATTTTTAAGATGAAAATTATCAGGATATCTGTTAAAAAATCACCAATTTATTTTCTAAGAACCTTTAATTACAATTCTTTTTTTGTAGGTAGATGGGAGCAGAATTTGGGGAGTGAAATCTGAGCTATTCATTGCTGTGCACAAAAGAAAATGAACTATAGGATTGTTTTAAACTCAGAGTAAAGATTTTAATAGTTTTGGGAAGAAACAGATTAATTTACGATGGTTTTAGTTTCTTCAATGCAAAATATTCCGAGATACACAAAAACAAGTATTAGATTCTCTCTCTCTCTTTTTTTAAATTGTGACTGACTGATAACCCAAAGCAGAGCCTCCTCAAGGGAGCCTGAATGTGAGTCGCAGTCCCAGAAAGGGCTTGTCTGTTATATATAAGGGAGTGCGATCCGTCCCTCAAGTTCCCCTCAGGACCTTCACTGCAGCCTATGGCGGAAGCCCCAGGAGGAGCAGCGCATGCTGGGAACACAGGTGAAGCACTCTGCTTCCAGCCAGGCAAAGATGCACAGCCGCAGGGCGACAGCGCCCGAGGTCTCAGAGCCATCCTCTCCGTGCCCCTGCCCACCACCAGAGCCAAGCCTAAGCTGGAATTCCTGGCTATCTTTGTCCAGAAGGGAAGGAGAGGGGAGGGGATGGGGAGGGGGAGGGGGAGGGGAGGGGAGGGGAGGGGTCCAGACGCCAAGCACTGCTGCGCACTTACCTGGCCAGGGTGCAGACTCACCTCTTGCTCTCTGCTTCTGGTCTGGCTCCTTTCGTTCAGGAGATGAAAATAAAGCGCACCTGACCTTTCAACTGAGGGCCATTTAGGAAAACCGAAACTGAAGCCACACCTATTAAGTGTGGAAAGTATTCCACAGGAAACATGCTTGTAGAAGGTAGCTCCAGGGAGGTCCAGGCTGCCCACCAGTTTCTGAACCTCTGCCCCTGCTTCTCCCAGCTGGAGCCCCTGTGTCTGTGTCCAAACGGCCTCCCTTCACTCAGACAACAGCATCCTTGCCACATCTCTGGTGGCCACCGCAGGCACCGCCTGGGTTACACCGCACACTCCTGGGCTAGCTGACTGCCCCGGAGAAGAGGTCCAGGGGCTTGCCCAGGGCCTGGCAGGGACAAGCGCTGTGTCCTCTGAGATGCAATCCGGAAATGCTTGGCAAGGGGCCGCTGGAGGGGGCGCCCACCCTGGCTGCTGCTGGGAGTTGCTGAGGAGACACAGGCAAGCACCCTGTGTTCCAGGCAGGCCTCAGAAAGGGCCCCTTCACACCTCCCAGGCCCTGGGAGGGTGGCTCAGGTAAGCTGAAGAATGTGTCTCAGTTTTCCCTGGGAGCGCCCACTCCGGACCTTCTAGGTTCCCACTGAAAAGAACAATCCTTAACATTCCTTAGATGTCACAGCGTTCACATAATCAAAGGTGACAGACTTCAGTGTTTGAGGTGGGCAGAGGGGAGCTGTCCATCAATACTGTGTCAGAGGGGACAGCAGCACCCAACCCAGGAGTGAGTGGAGGCCAAAAGGCCGCACACTGGGAGGCGCAGGGCAACACACCATCTGAACTATTTTTATGTGAATAATTCCTCTGTGCCCAGAGACCCCTAACATGACAGTGCCTTGCCCATTGCTGATGCTGTGTTTAACATGTGTCTAAGAATAAATGGAACAGTTGAAAGAAATCTTAAGGGGCCGGACTGTGGCGCAGCGGGTTAATGCCCTGGCCTGAAGCGCCGGCATCCCATATGGGCACTGGTTCAAGACCCGGCTACTTCACTTCCAATCCAGCTCTCTGCTATGGCCTGAGTAGAAGATGGCCCAAGTCTTTGGGCTCCTGCACTCATGTGGGACACCCAGAAGAAGCTCCTGGCTCCTGGCTTTGGATCGGCACAGCTCTGGCCATTGCGGCTAACTGGGGAGTGAACCATCAGATGGAAGACCTCTCTCTCTCTCTCCTCTCTCTATGTAACTCTTTCAAATAAATAAATCTTTAAAAAAAAAAGAATTCCTAAATAAACAAGAATTACCTAGAAATTATTAATGAAATCAATGATTTTTGTTTACATGAAATCTCTCTCATGTTATACATCTGCATTTTAATAATTATAAAATAATTTATATTCATGAATAGAAATTCATAATTAACTGTAATTGATGAAAAACATTGACTCATAAATAGGATATCAATACCATTAATACTATTAAATTTGAAGTATCTTCATACACACATATTATAAGCATTTATAAATGTTTCTATTTATAAATATATTCCTTAGAAATAGTTAAATCATTGGTCATCAACATTTCTAAATTAATTCACAGCAGTAGATTTACTTAACCTGGAATGGAGTAGGATGGTAGATGGAAAGCTCTGTTACTAGTAAACATTGACAAAAGCATTCAATTGTCCCTGGAACTATGTTCTGGTTGCCTGAGATAAACAATAGATATAATTAGAAGACAGCTGATTTCTGGGTATCAACTCCATTTTAAAGAAACCTTGCTTGCTTTCACTTTCCATTTCATTTGAGAGAAGATGAAGTTTGCATCTGAGTCCTGAAATGGATACCAGAATTTGCTTTCATGCAAAACCTGCCAATGACTTTAGTTGTTATCCTTTGCATAAATACTCAGCTTCCTGGCTGAGAAGGTGAGCTGAGAAAAAAGAAAAGCCTGCCCATTTTAGCTGCAGTCATTGCAGACATTTGAGACGTGAATGAGTAGATGGCAGCCATCTCTGTCTTTGTCTGCCTGGGTGTCCCTCTTTGTCTCATAGTCACTCAAAAATATAAGATTATGAACTTTAAAATTTCTGGTAGACAATTTTAAAAGAAACAGCGAGAAGAAGGGACTCTGAACTGAACCTGAAGAGTAAAAGGAACTATTCTGTCATTTGGGTAGGTGGGATGTAGAAGGGGCCAGTTCACCAAGTGTTACACAGGATCGGTTAGACCTTTTATTCTAATCCATAATCATTTTCAGCAAGTATGCTCTTTGCTCCTCCCAGGGACCATTAGGTACACAAGTGCCTCATGAGGCAGGGCTCCGGCTCCATCTACAACAGTGACATCTGACAGCTGAAGGGCACTGTCATGAGCACGCGACTCTGCCTCTCCCTGATTAAAAGGCAGATTTCATCAGTTCCCGCAATTTGCACAACTTAGAGAGGGCTTCATATTCAAGTATCCACATAAATAATCTTCCATTTAAAAATGTACTTTCATCACAGAGAAATTAATGACTATAGTTACATTTGTAACTACAATTTGCTGGATTATAAACTCTGCTTAGAAGAACTCCCACTCTCCAACTCCCACCTATCAGGGGACTCTTTCAATCTATTCTCGGGTCATCTGCAGCATCCTTGGAGGAAATTTGTGTAACTACTCTAAATTTTGTGTCCACAATGTGTATCCCAGGGAAGCCAGAGCTCACAACAGGATACCAATGTGTCCCTCCAGATAGGGACACTTGTGGGTATTTGTGCAGCACAGGGGACAAATCTGTTGGAATGTGTGGAAACATTCTGTGGAAAAATCTCCCAAGCAGCAGACCTGTATTATTTTAAGGAGAAAAGTTCTTAGTTTCCCTTGTTCATCTGTATTTTCCATTTACTTTTTTAAACCATTACTTATAAAATTGAATGCATTAAAAGGATCATGTTACATATTGAAAAAACAATTTCAGATCATTCATTATGCCAGCCAATAAATGACTAAGGAATAAGCTGTTGAAAACTCATAATTTCAGATTGGAGCTGTGGCATATGGGTAAAGCCTCCGCCTGCAGTATCACATCCTAGATGGGTGCCAGTTCGAGTCCCAGGTGCTCCACTTCCAATCCAGCTCTCTGCAATGGCCTGGGAAAGCAGTAGAAGATGGCCCAAGCGCATGGGCCCCTGCATCCACGTGGTCCTGGCTCTGACTCAACCCAGCTCTTGCTGTTGCAGTCATTTGGGGAGTGAACCGGTAAATGGAAGACCTCTCTCTATCTGTCTTACTGCCTCCCTCCCTCCCTCCTTCTCTCTGCTTCTGCCTCTCTGTAACTCTACCTTTTTTTTTTTTAACTTTCATTTAATGAATATAAATTTCCAAAGTACAGCTTATGGATTACAATGGCTTCTACCTTGCAAATCAATAAAATTTTAAAAATAAACTGATAGTTTCTGCTCATCCATATGACAAGGACCCTTAAGCCAACAGGAAAGTAGTACAAAGAAATGATCATGTGACATCCTTCCAGAGGTAGGGAAACAGATGGCTTGGGTTTCCTGCAGGTCAAGTTGGGAGAAAATGTTGTCCTCCATCTCCCTCTACTCAGTCACATTCTGCAATCCACTGAAGCTGACCAATTTGTTCAAGCTCGTACTGAAAAACAAGACTTGCTGTTACTTTTGATTCTAGACTCTTCCTCAGATTTACTGAGTATTTGACTGCATATCTAAGGAGTTATGTTTCAAGAACAGCATGTGAAAGTTCAAAGCTTAGCAGGACATCTGGACTAGCAGTTAAGATGCCAGTTAAGACCCTGTCTCATATTGGAGTGCCTGGCTTTGATACCCAGCTCTAACTCCTGTTCCTGGCTTCCTTCTAATGCTGATATGGGAGGCAGCACTGCTGAGTCACGTGGTGTGGTGTGTATAAGATGAAATGTTACTTGTAATATTCAACCACCAAACAGATCTCAGATCATCATGCTAAGTGAAGTAAGCCATACCCAGAAACACAAAAATCACATATTATCTCTTACTTGTGAAAATAAAAAGTATAAACATGGTGTGGATGCTATATCATTACAGATAGAATTATAAATATTGCTTCACTGAATTATGCCATGTAAATGGAAATACACCCTTCTTTCCCCAGGTTAAAAAAAAAAAAGAGAAACTAGTTCCAGGAAGCATCATACACCCTACAGGAACCTGGGAATGTATTTGAATCATACTTAGGTCGGCTTCTGTGGAAACATCCACACAATGAGACACATTCTTCAGCTTACCTGAGCCACCCTCACAGGGCTGCGCAGGTCAAGGGGCCCTTTCTGAGGTCTGCCTGGAGCCCCGGGTGCTTGCCTGTGTCTCCTCAGCAATCCCCAGCAGCCGCCAGAGTAGGCGCCCCCACAAGGGCTCCATGCCAGGTGCTTCCTGTTTGGATCTCAGGAGGATGAACTGCTTTTCCTTGCAGGCCCCTGTGCAAGCCCCTGACCTGCAGGGAGGTCAGCTTGCCCAGGAGTGTGCGTGTTACCCAGGCAGTGTCTGTGGTGGCCATTAGAGGCAGAGGCTGCTCTTGTCTGATTGAAGGGTGCCGGAATGGACAGAGGGACAGGGGCTCCATCTAGGATGAGCAGGGGCACAGCGATTCAGAAACTGGAAGCCCAAGACTTTCTTGGCCCCTCTTCCTAGAAACCACGATTTCCTGTCCACTTGTAAAACACAGCAAACATCTCAACCATTACCAAGAAAAGCATAGATTTCGCTTTCGGTTGTCCTCCACTCAGCCCTTATTTGGGTGGCGAGAACAGCGGTGTGTGTAGGAGGAGCCAGATCAGGAGCGATGGCAAGTGGTGAGCACAGGCAGAGGAGAGCTTGGTCCTGACTGTGGCGCCCTGGTCAGGTAAGTGTGAGGAGGAGCTTCTTCTTGGCCCCTTCCCTTCACTGACAGTGACCACCAGGAATTCCTAGCGCAGCCTACTTAGGAGTGGTGGGCGCAGGCAGCAGGAGGACTTCACAGGCCTGGTGCGAGGCCAGCGGGTGCTTTCTCCGGACCCTTTAGTATCTCAATGGATTTTAGAGGCTGCAGCCCTGTGCCTGCTGTGCCCAGGATGCCCTGCTGCTCCTAGGGTTTCCAATCTGGGCTGCAAGCAAAGAGCTCTGAGTAGAACAATGAGGGAAGGATCCTACCCGCTTATGTGCAAAGGGGCTGAAGTCCTTTCTAGAACCCAAATCCTCCTGCTTCCTCCTGCCTCCCTGCTCTTGGAGCTCTTTATGCTAAGTGAAGTAAACCAGCAGACAAAGACCAGTCCACCTTTATTGGGCATTGCCTCAAATCTCCATTACAATATGGTGCCTGGTGGATTTTCGAGGGGTGTGTGTGGCTACTGTGGGTAAGCTATCTAAGATCAGACCACCGGCAGGGATAGGTCTGCTTTAGTTCCAGACACATGGGCAGTGCGTGATCCCTGTACTTTGCTTAAGATGCCACTGCACGTGGTCCGCCCACGCCTGCATGACCTTTTTGCTGGTTGGCTCCCCTACTGCGCATGCCTTTTGTAAGCCTTATAAACCTGTACACTTCCTCAATAAAGTAGTTTCTTCTTCGACAGAACTCACGGGTTCTTGCTGCAGTGTGCTTGACCCGTCGACCTTACCTCTCCAGTTCACTTTGCCAGGGAGTGCTTGTGCTGTCCCCTGCTGGTCAGGAGCTAGCCTCAGGCTTAAGACCCCAACAAGTGGCACCCAATGTGGGGCACGATGTACTCAAAGGAGCCCTAAAGAAGGACTGACTCTGGCCCGAGAGGACTAACTCTGGCCTAAGTGAAAGTATTGGGTGACGGCTAAGCGAGGCTCTGGAGGTAAGGTATCCCAGAAAGGATAGGGCAATCTCATGCTAAGTTTGGTGACCCAGTGCCTAAGGCACTGAAGTACATACTAAAGACTCAAGGCTTAAAGCCACACCAAAAATCTTACACACCTAAGCCGGTTAATATGAAACACATGTTCTGGTTGGCCTTTGATGAGGAGTATCAGGCGGCTCATAAATCCCCAGAGGCAGTTAAAACTAAGGTAGAGCCTTCAGGTGTGGTGGTAACCCCTGAAGGCCCAGTGCCGCCTCAATCCATGGCCCCTCCAATTACAGAGGGGACCTTTAGCCTAGTGCCACCCATGTGGCCACCCCTTTATGGGTATTCCCCTCCCTGGGATTGTCTGCTGCCATCTTATAAACAGTGCGCCTCCCCAACCCCATGACCAGTCTGCTAGGCCCCAGCGTGCAGTCTTCCCTGTTAATGGGGGACCACAGCCTTTCTCTGCACTCTCTTCCTGTCAATGTGGCCTGCC